ACATATTTATATATTTTTAAAATTTTAAAATATGTTCTGGACATGATTAAGAAATGTTTAAAATCTCACTGTGAACATAAACTGTAAATTCAATATGAATACATATTTTATGGCATGCATACAAACCAGGATTACATAAATATGTTGAATCTTTTCAGGGATATTAATAGCATGTAATGGATTTTACAATTGTGATGTTTTTGTACTCAGTATTTTTTCAGTAGATTTTAGCTCAAGACCTAGCTTGTGGCTCATAATGCCTACAAGCCAAAGGGAATAGGCTGGCAGGAACCAAGGAGACTGGGTATCAGACCTGGTTACAGCAAAATGTGAAATTCAGAGATAGGGAACTGAGAAAGGTAACACAGAAGATACCAGAGAGAAAACAAATTAAAAGCAGCAATCTGCTGCTGTCATTTTTAAATGTAGCTATTTGAAGATACGTGCATGAGCTAATATGCAAATATTAATACAGTGAGAAATCAAGTGGGATGTCAACCATATGCCACCATATAAGAGGAGCCCAAAAGAACTTTCCAACCAAGCTTATTTCTCATTTTCCTCACAGCTGAAATGGGAGAATTTGATGTGTTTATCTGTAATTGAGTAAATTCACATGCAGCTATTGATAAACATTTAGAATCTGAGTAAGAAATTTTGATGTTAATGTATCTGTCCATCAAACAGGACAAAGCTGCAGCACAAAATTCATGACCTGATGGCATGTACATCATTCAGTACAAAAACAGGAAAACCTCAGTGTTCAATTTAAGAAAAGAAATATTCTACAATGACTACTGCAAATGGCAGCACAGTAAATATGTCATTAAAGCAAACATACATCTATAGTTGCTACTGTATACAATGACAAGGGTTATTTTCTTTAACTCCTCCACTTAATCTGATGCATATAAAAATGGAGAGAGCTCGTAGGTTAACATTTCTTTTAAAAACTGCTGCAGTACTTTGACAGAATGAACTCCCTTAGTATCAAACCATCAGGAGTGCAGTTAAAAAAACACTGAGTTTTTTGTTTTAGTGGGGAAAAAAAACTCTATCATTAAACATGAGCTCTCAAATGATCCATTTGGATTATGCTTTATCAGAGTAATTTGCTCCTGTCAATTACACTTCCATGCTAATGCACAGCATGTTGGTAATCGCCAGATTTCAGAAACATATTCCAGCACTGTAATATTTTAAATAGCCATTCCAGTGCATGCTCAAAGGTGCATTTGAACTCTTTAGAGAACCCCTCACACACTCTGAGCTGCTGCCTGTTGAATTACTTACAGGGATTTCCTCAACTATAACAAGTTCTTGGAACCAATATTTTATGGTTATCTAGCTCCTGACTTTAAAATGTCTACAGGATACTAAATTGGTTTGGGTTTATTGTAAACCAGTGTTTTAAAAAGATGTGGCTTATTCATTAATGGTCCCTAACATTTCTAGTCAACTTCAATTATAAATAAGAAATGGAAACTCATGGATCAGGTACTTTAGAAATACTGGACTATCTGGAAAGTAATTACTTCTTCCACAGTTTCTCATTTTAGAAAAGGTATGTCAACACTGCTTTAAGTGGCTCTTGTAGCACATGGGGTATTTAATTTCTTTAAAATAAAAACTAGAATCTCAATAAAATTTTAATTTTTTTAAAGTAAAAACAAGCTTTAAAATGTTCTTAAAAAGAACCTTGCATTCCTCTGTCAGTGCTCAATCACTTCAGCTAAAACAGTAGAAAATGATTACTCAAAAGTGAAATGAGTCATCACCTAACCTGAAAATATCAAAGTTAAACACTAAAACCTATGAATTTTTAACATTATTTCAATTTTATATTTGAAAAATAAGTAATCTGATGAAAATTACACTTACTCTAATATCCAGTTGGAAGTTTTATGTTTGCTAAAGTCACCTTCACTAAATTATGCTAGAGAGTCTGTTGCAAATTCTAGAGGGGACTATGAGAGGTCATAGTTCATAATCTTAAACAAGTTGATGGTCTCTAATACAAGGCCATGCATGGCTACATAGAACTCACACCAAATATATGGAAGCTACATTTAGTTATGACTCATACCATAGCCACTATGATGAGATAATTTACACACATTTAAAAAAAAAATCTGGCCCAGCCTGGTAGGTGTTCTTAGTCCCACATAGCGACCTACAGCTGGTGGGGTAAAGGGAGAACAAACACTTTGAGCCAGTGGGGGAGCTCAACAAAATGAAAGACAATCATATGGCCAGAAATTACGGCAGCCCTTCAACGAAAGTCCTGTGGATGGAAAGCTGCCAAAAGGTGTCTCTTACCCATCACTGCTTCGGTGAACTCTGAAAACAGCTTTGCATTACTTTAACTGAGGGGCTAGTCAGAAGAATCGCCCTCAACTAAGATGATGTGTGGTGACAGCACCAAAAGGAATTTGAACTCTGTGTTTTCAAAACACTCTGATTTGACTACAGCTGCTGTCACTGTTCTTCACACCAGCATCAGGATCAGTGGTTTTCACTATTACCAGTATTTCTTACCTTCCTGAGCCCCTAGGACTGCATTACTTCTCACACAACTCTTGACTATTGGTTCTATCTTCCTGCCTGTCTCCAGAGCTATTTTGGCTAGAGGCAGATTAGCTGTGAATAAAGTACATTTGTCCTATCCTGTTTCTGGTTTAAAGCAAGCTGCCTCTCATTCTGGTCAAGTTCTTCTCACTCCCAAAAACTGCCAACAAAACCATTGGACTGTGCATATGCTTGGTAAAAATTAGAGCTTCCCTTCCATCTAGAAATTGTAATTTTGTATCACTAATTAAACAAAAACGCTGAATACAGAACATGAAAAATTTCTTTTTAGGTTTGAGAGTGCTCTGCTGTCCTGGCTGATCCTGTGGTAAATCTGCCCATGTTCAATATTAAAATAAAAAGTAGTGATGTACGCTGATTATTACAGCAGGTAGATTGTCCAGTCCTCATTTTAATGGTCTTGTCTTGATTTCAATGACAGATGTACCCATGTTAGAGGGAATCAGAACCCAGTGGTCACACCTTTATGACTTATCAGTACATCAGAAAGCCAGGGTGGAAATACATACAGATTCTTCATTGCGCCAACTGTACATGTGCAGGGTCTCAACACAAACTTAGCAATGTAAATCCAGCCATAAAGATACAACAAACTCCTCTGAAGCCTTATAAAAATACCAGTGCAACATAGAGCCATTTTACAAAACAATCATCTTTATAGAAAGGTATTTTAGTGGTATATGCTGAGGTAAATAATAAAACCAGACCCAAGAGAGGGCATGACCAGTGTTAAAGAGAACTCCAGATGAAATTTGGCCAAAAGCCTGTTTTACAAAAGCTAATATTTACCTACCAGTTACGATTCCTGGTAAGTTGCTTATTGCTGTAATACTTCAATATTATTCTTCAGTTTACAAATTGAAAAATATATGAAATTAGATCTGTATGAATGTTAGGTATTAGCTGTCAGAAATTTAAAAAGGCATTGTACCAAGTTTTCTTAATTGTTTACTAACCAATTTGATTGTAGCAGGTAAACAAACTACAGCATACATTTTACCTGACACCATGCATCAAAATCACCATAAAAACTAAGTTTATCAAAGTCCAAGTCCACAAGGAAAACATGAAAAAGTGCAAATTATGTACCCAGTATTTCTGTCACAGCTGTTTTTTCTTAATATGGCATGAAAAAGGTTTACAGCATATATTAAGAAAATTCTTACAAGTGCTCACCTCAATGTTTATATATACAACATTTTGCTCAAAGTGCTCACTATATGAAAAAAAACTGATTGGATAAAAATATTTAAACAGTGCTTTCTGAACGTTCAGGGAAAATTCATATAATACATCAGTCCCATTTGTTTTCCTCTTCACTCAGTGCAATGAGATGCAGAAGTCACATCAACTTCATGAAAACTTTGCTTGCCACATTTCCAGAAAACCTCAGTTACAGTGGCATTCTTGGTGTCCCATTAGGAGTGGGTCTTTTATTTTTTTGCAGGTGGCTTTGATGTTTTCGAGATCTTACTACTTTCATTCTTACTTCAAATACTTCTTGTATGGCTTTTCGAAAACAATGGAAATTGTAGTCTATTAATCCTACAGAGACAGAAATGTTTTACATATTAATAAATACATTCATATAAAGTAATGAAAACATTGCTTATATTCTATGTTTAGTGAAATACCATACTCTCTGTCTGGAGGTCATATTTAGTGAACTGTCCAGGAATTTTTTCTGTGCTAAGCAAAAGCACATTTGATAAATACTAATAATTCAGTAAGCATTACAGCTTGATACTGTGTCTGCTATTAAATATACTTGTAAGTTTTAAGAGAAAACAAATAGAAGTTCATTGGCAGATAACAGATCCTTAATTTAATAAAAGGCTTTGAATAAGTGCTCAGTATACTAGAAGAAAAACTGAAATCTTTCATAAAATATAGTGTAATTTTGGAAATCTGCTTTACAGGGTAACAGCAATAAAAATAAGTAGCATCTATTAATCAAGAAATGTTCATTTTTTGCCAATACATAAACTTTGAGATAGATACTTGATAGAACTATTACCAAATCTCAGCCAGCTGTATTTCATCTTACACTGTAATTAAAATGTAACACAATAGACATGCTATTAGATTAGATACTTACATAATAGGCAGATAACATTACCCATGTCAGTGGGCTGAATGTGATCCCACAGAAAAGCTGTAAAGCCATATTGGTAGTCAATTGGAAGACTTACTGAGTGCTACAATTCTGTAATACCACAATACAATTTTAGAATTTTGGTACTGAGCTCATGACCTCATTCAATGTTAATGCCATAAGCTTTCTTAACTCAAATACTGCATTATTTTCCACTTCAATTTCACTAACAGGAGATACATATTTCTAAGTGGTTTAAATCCACCATGTTACACATTGGTTTTTTTCACAGGAATTGTTTTCTGTCTCCTTGCAGTTCAGACAAAATATTACTTGGAATTTATGAGGCACAAAAAGCCCATCTCCATTATAATACCAGAACCTTACTGCAGAAGAGTGCAGGCTACCAAGTGTCCCAGCTCTGCAGATAAAACAATCTCCCACAGTTATGGACAAACCCTAATGGATCTTTATTCAACATGATGTCTTTCTGAAACAGTGCTGTTAGTAAGTATGCAGAAGTAACTTTTTATGCATGTAACAGAAAGTGACTACATCCAACATTCATAAGCAATAAAGGTGGTAGGGGTATGGAAGAGACATTTGACCAATTTAAGTGCTATCAAAAGCTCAATACGCTGTCAAACAGCCCAGCAGGCAAGTGCTGCTTTCACAAACACACCACCACTGACTGGTGAAATTACTATCACAAGATGGGGCACACAAGCCTAAATGACAGCTTGCTCTTCTACTGCTGTGTTTTGGTCTCAGGGCATGTCAGAAACACCAGCAAATCAGTGACCATTGTGCCAATGAGCAGAGAGGTCATGAACTAAGGGTTCACTATCAACTTTGACCAGGGTCAAAATAACAAAGAAATTTTATGCACTTTAACTGCAAAATATTAAAGCACTCCTAAATAGAACTAGGTCCTAAATATGCAATTTTTCAAAAGCTTTCTTTCAGATGTAAGAAAAGCAAGAACATTCTATCCGTCTCAAAAATTTTCCCTTGGTTACGGCAGGCAAGCTGTTCCAAAGGTTTATGCTGATGTCAACAGGTACAAATCAGTGTCAGTCAAGATAAATTAACATAGTCTACAGTTGGAGGTGGAAGCTTTACTGCACTGGATGTAAACTTTCAAATGCTTTCATATCAGGAAGTTGTCAACTACGTTTATGCCATCATCCCATCTTAATACCTGCACAAGTACTTTCATCCCTTTAAAAATGTTATGTAAGCTTTATCACGCTGGACTTACCTCAATATTTATGATACAGTTAGAAACTGTTATCAGCTAATAACAACCTTGGTTATTCATTAACTCACTAATATAAAGGAAAATTGATGCAATACTAGAAAAGGGGAAAATACCTTTTCTCTCAAAGCTTTCTTCTCTGACAAAACAAACAAGAGCAAGGAATTTTGTCACCTCTTTTAAATAAAGGACAGTTGTATTATTCAGTTTTATGATTGCCATTGATTCTTTGTCATAAGGAGTTCCAGTGCCATCATCTTTAAGCCTAAAGAGCAATATTCAAACAAACAAGAAAAGATAAGACACCAGATTAGCTAACAAAAGTACTGTTACATTGGTTCTCTCAAACCAAAGAATCTCAAACTTTATAAAATCTTCCTTTTAATCTTTCAAGGAGACTCTTCCAACTACACACTACATAAACTCAGATGACAAAGAGATAATTTGTTTATCCCATCACACACCAAACCTTAGATCTGGGACTAGAAATACGATTGTTTGATTGCCAAGTGCCTGAACTGGAACCTTATTTTTTCTTCTGTAAGTTACCACCCATTTACCACAAGGCTGCTTTTCTTTTAATCAGTGCTTTGTATTATGACTTAACCATAAACATGTGAAACAGTAGGTCTGTACTGCTAACTGCAAACCCAGTAACCTTGCTTGAGCAGTAGCAGCTGACTGATAGTTTAAGACATCATGAGACTTTCCTCATGAGATGTTGGTTTTTGCAACATCATATTATGAAAAGAGATTTCTCATTCATAGATGTTGAGTCGTGATGATCACTGTATTATGTTTTTTACATTGTAACATTGTAATTTTATTCTCACTCCTGAATGCACACACAGATATTGTTGAATGGATAGTTATCACCAACCTCCCAGAACAATTAGTCTCGATAATATACTAAAGTGGCAAGTTCCACAGATGCTCCAAGAACAGAGGACAAGAGATGAATTGTAATATCATGTCTTTAGTCTGTAGCTAAAAAGTGGCAAGCAGATCTCTGGTGATAAATGCTAAATGGCTATGCAACCACAGTGGCAGAATGATATTTTGTAAATAAAGAGCCCCACAAGTGGTGTTGAACAGATAATTATTAAATGCACATTCCTTTGAGCTACATAGCAGAAATCTTTCTCCTTACAAAAATCAGCATCCTTTATTTTATACCTCTATAAAAAAAGTTCTTACATAGTTGCTGAAGTGATGACTCCAAAATCTGAAACACACAGTAGAACATACTAACTTCAGAGATTTTAGGTTAAGTATTCAACAGTTTATTGTTCCAGTGCTTATTGCACATCTGCACCAGGACTCTCTCTTGTACCTTCTCTAAGAGTGCAAGAAGTCTGTGAGTGGGTACAAATGCAAAGCTACTCCAGCCTGCCACTCTCTAAGCATGTTGTGCATTGCCCTGCAAGTGTGAGCATCTTAATGTGCTAATTCTTAATGTGCCACTGCCTTTCCCAGGAATGGCTGGCATTACATTTGGCCAAGGGCCAAGACACTGAACACATAATTTGCAAGGAGATGTACATGCCAGCCCCAGGAGATTACCACTTGCTAATGTACAAGAAGGAGAAACTGAAAAAAGCCCAGAAAAGTCATGTAGGGAATAGGGGACAAACAGAAAACTGAAGTGAGAGTGAAACAACTCTTTGAGGCTATTAGAGGCCACTGGCTATTAAATAAAGATAAATATGGCCCCACTTCTTTTTAAAACAGGAGACATCTTTCTGTTGATTTCAACCCTAGGGAACAAAATGATGATGATTCCTTTTATTTTAGATTGGTTTCTTCCCACTTCTTCCTCCAAATTAAATTATTAGCATAGAAAGAGGAAGATGCTCACAAGAGAAACTGAATAAGGAGTGATGCTTGTTGCTGGGAAGGATCGGTCCCTCAGAAGCCAGATGTGTCCTCCTCCTCTGTCCTGGGAAATTACCCATTCTCATTATTGTTTATACCCACATCACCCACAATTTTGAGGCTATTCAGATTCTCAGTACACAGCTTTATAGAAAACATTCACAATTTACTTACCCATATATACAAGAAATGTCAATCACAACATCTATCATATCACAGCAGAGCTCGTAAGTTTGCATATCCACTGGAGTGCTGTCTGTTGCGATATAGATCTTACTGACTACATCAAATAAAAATGCTTTTTCAATCCCAGAATTCTATTCAAGAGAAGAAAAAAAGAAAAATAAAGTGGAATCCATGTTTTCAAATTAACCCCAAGCTTTTCTGTTCCCTTACTTGCCTGTTATATAAAAAGGCTAGGCTAAAGAAATTAAATTGCAATCAAGGTCATTTTGAAAGAACTACATACAGCACTATTGTATTTGTATTTGTATTCATATTTGTATTTCTATTTGTATTTGTTGTATTTGCTCACAAACCTTCCAACAGTTTCTGACTGAGCAGACATGATGCCACGGGACACTCTCAAACTTCTCCACTGTAATCTGGAGAGATTACATTTCTTTTCAGTGGAAAATGAGGGAGGGCAAATGGGGAGTAGAAAAATCTTCCAAGTTCAAGCTTTTGGAGTTTTAATTATAGCAACAGACATAAAAGAAAGCTGTAATCTAAAGTTATTCTAGCTGGGCATATGAGAAGATAGAAACAAAGGAAAGAAAACACTGATGGGCAAAGAAGACAGTATTATTCAGGAACTGATTTCTCATTGCAGTCTGTAGCTGTTCTACTGTCTGGTTCTGTAGAACATCATTTAGGATCACAGGAGTGAGACCAGTGTTTTGATGGTGCCGTCAGGTTTCATGTAGCACTGGTGGTTAAAGCCATGTTTAAAATGCTAAGGCTTGCTAAAGTGATGACAGCTATGTTCCTGTCATCCTGCCAAGCTGATTAAGACACTCTCCATACTGAAGATGTATCGTATTCACAGCTCTGAGAAGCTAGCCAGGACTGCTGGCTCTTACTCTTTTGTGTAGATAAGGTAAACTGACATAAACCTCTGCTTCCTGGAAAAAAAAAAAAAAAGGTGTACTGCTTAATTGAAAACAGTAGCTTTTCTGGCTGATGTCAAGGGATTACACCTGCACAGCTCTCCCAGCATGAAAAAAAGGGCAATTTTCCAGTAGTGCTAAAGCACAAGCTATAAAATACCCTTCAGTATCCACCTATATGGGAATACAAAAAACCTTCTCCATCCAACTGAATTGTCTCTATATATATGATTCCCATTTTAACATGATTTGGGACTGCTGTCACAGTAGTTCTGTAATGACCAAAAACCACACTGAAAATCCCTAATAAGTTTTAGTAGTTTCAGCTTATTTTTGCAGTTACAGAACTTTTCCAATTTTTCTTCCTCCTTTTCTAAATCAACTATTTAACACATAGTTAAATAACTAAAGGGGCTGTCCTGTTTTCCATATTTCCTGAAATAGGCAGAAAAACTTCCAACACTAGATATGCTATTCAACAATGGACAGCAGTATTTTGGGCATTTTCTTCTTAAAGAGTTGTCATTCTTCCATCACGGCAGACAGAGCTAAGGCTGCAAACATCCATTAGTAGTAACAGAGTATAGAGGTGAATTTCTTGCATTTCATAATGGAAAAGACCCTCTGAGTGGCATATTTCAGAAACTCAGTAATAAAAAAATATTCAAAACAAAGTATACACTGTGGATACCTTAGGTAGATGGGCTGAAGCACAGGATGTACAAGGAGAGTCTCAGAGAAATGGCTTTGTTCAACCTGAAGAAGAGAAGACTCATTGCTACCTACAGATACCTAATGTAAGGGTTCAAAGAAGTCAGAGCCAGAGCCAAACTTTTCTCAGAGCTACAACGTTGAAGGACAGAAGCCAAAAGGCACAGGCTGGAATTCTGACTTAATACAAGAGAAAAAAAATTAACATAAGAGTGGTGAAGGATTGGGAGCATGCTGACCTGAGAGTCTGTAGCATTTGTATCCTTCCAAATGCACAAAGCTGAACTGGACCCAGCCATAACCAGCTTGCTGTAACTGGCCTGACTGAGCAGCAGCTGACCTCTAAAGGTATCTTTCAGCCTACAGGGTTCCATGAGTCTGTATTCTTTGAGCCCAAAGAACAAAAATGTATGCATATTTATGCTGGTTGTTCTGGCCACATATGGGAGTTCTGTAATTTTGCTTTTTAAAATAGTAATTCTGACAGCACCTCACACAGTTCAACAGATGCTGTCAATGAAGATTAATTACAAGACTCTCTTGAAATACCATGTAAGTACATAGCTGTAACTCATTGCCAAAATTGTATTTGAAAATACAAGTTATTTCAGACCGAAGAAGCTGAAACTTGAGCCCCACAGTGCCATTCATGAGAAGCCAATTACAAAGTTTTGTATTACACAGAGACATAGCAACAATTTCAGCTGTACAGGTAAGATGCACTTTAAATTATTAAGATGACAGTAACAATATAGTAACATTTAACAATGAGAAGTGATTTTTTCATCTCAGAGCTCCAGGTGCTGCAGCCTGCCTGTACTTGCTGTCACATTTCAGAAAGTTTTCTGAACGTTTGCCATGAACACCTTGAGACGTTTGCCGTGCCAGCAGTTACACCTGCTGGTTAAGGGCAGAAATTCGTCTCTTAACTTAAACTCTGCTTGTTTTCAGTTACAACTGATCCATCATGATAGGACATGCTGAGAAGCTGCATGTATTTTCTTCTTTAGAACTTTGTATGGTGACAGAAACCTCTACAAAACGGTGGGATGGACTGCCAGAAGTAGTAACCACTAAATTTACACACATGCCTTCAAATATTTAATTTGTCAGGGATTTTAGTACAACTGTAACCAAAAAAATCACAGGATTTCCCATAATGTTTGTGTGAAAACTACTGAACACCCCACCCCCCACCCGCTATCCCCTTAGCCTGCAAAAAAAACCCCAAACAGAAATTGTAGAAAAAATAGTAACAAGTCATAAAAAACCAGGAAAAGGTGGATAAAAAGTAGTATTCAAAGAGACATTTTATCATTAATGCTGAGGGGAAATGACAATAAGAAATCAACTGTTTCTGTTACTAGAGCTGGTAGGTTCCTTACTGAATGAAAGGCTGCCATTGATTAAATGAG